GATTCCTATTGGAATTTACATTTTGATAAACTGTCACTAAGAAAGTGCTTTATATGTCTGCTGTGTTCCTTTAATTAAAATTCTATTAAAAAAATTTTTTTAAGAAGGCTATTACTATGTATTTTTGTTATCAGTCCTGGATGAGAATCTGGTTGATTGAAGCACTAATATGTAATACAATCTGCCACACACTACCTAAGCTTCCTGCCAAGCACTAAGCAGCGAGCAGGTAGTGATACCATCAAAACAGTCCATCCAAATCTGTTCTTCATAGTGTCCCAAGACATCTTAGCTATGTCATGATGGCAAGATCTCATGTGTAGCAGTTGTAATCAGCAATCATGTCTCTTCCAGTGGCTCTCTGACAAAGAGAACATACAGATGATTTCTTGCTTGCTTTGTGATTTAATGAATAATAAATCCAGTTTACTTGGAAAATAGGATTAATGTATTTGATAAAAAGAAAAGAAAAATATGCAATCTTTTATTACAGTTTTTTTGTGTTATCTCATGGATGCATGTAATTGTGAGTAAACTTGTTGAAGAGCTAAATGCAACTTTGTGATCACATTTATAGTTTATAGTGATGTCCCGAACTGTTCGCCGAACGTTTCGCGAACGTTTTGCCACGTACTCATCATTGAGTAAACTTTGACCCTGTACCTCACAGTCAGCAGACACATACCAGCCAATCAGCAGCAGACCGTCCCTCCCAGACCCTCCCACATCCTGGATAGCATCCATTTTACATTCATTGTGAAGCTGCATTCGTAGTGAGCTGTCCAGGAGGTGGGAGGGTCTGGAAGGGAGGGTCTGCTGCTGATTGGCTGGAATGTGTCTGCTGACTGTGAGGTACAGGGTCAAAGTTTACTCAATGGTGAGTGCGAGGCGAACCGTTCGTGGCGAACCGTTCGCGAACTGTTCGTGAACCGTTCGGCGAACCGTTCGGGACATCACTAATAGTTTATACTTTTACAGTGGCATTTTTTTTTATTTATCATGTCTGAATTTTTTTCAGGACCTGGACACCACACTATCTCTATTTGTCCATGTCTGTCCAAAACTGACAAGTTTGTTTTGTTTTTCTTTTAAATTCTTTAATTTTTGTAGTGTGTTGCAAATTTCACAGAATAGCATAGACATTATAAAGGGTATCATGAGAAAGTATTGACCAGAAAAGTACAATGCATCTCTGAATCACTGCACATTTTTTTTTAAATTATAGTATATCAAGATGTATATTTGTTGATGGTAAAACATAAAGTAGGTTAAGTGATGAGAAAATGCTAAACAGAATTGCATGGGTGAGAGTAAATAAAACTAAGGAAAACATGCTACATTGCGTAAAGAACCCTGGGCCTCAAAAAAGAAACGCACAGCTTGTCAGAGAGGTAAAAGTGACCCTTAGAATAATTGCTCATTAGCCCATGGAGAGGCAACCCCAGTCCACAATCAGAGATCAGGGTCAGATAATATTGCCCAGAATTGCCCCCTGAGGGTTGTCACCTCCTCCACGGAGTGCAGATCAGGCTTACCTGTCATTTCAAAGGCTAGATGCACCCTCCAATCAGGTTAAGCGTTAGTAGGGCCCCATGGTAGGCCATGATGACTCCTGCCGGTAAGCAGGACCAGCACCACTCTGAAAGAGGGGACCAGGATGTTGTAGATAGGCAGGATAGCAGGGCATCAACCGTCCACCCAACTAACCATATGGGTAGGACAGAGTAGGCCTTGGTCACAGAGATTATTCTTCTCCCCTAAAGGAGCTCTTTGTTTGTAAGTGTATTTCATGTTTTACTATACCCAAATATTGCTTTTCTTTTTTTTGGGATTATGCTATTGGAGTTTTTTTCTGTATTTCTATATATTATATGTGAGATGTCTATACCAAAGCTATCACTAAGCACACATCTGCTTCCAAAAGTGACCTGATTGATCATCCACCACATAGCCCTGACAAGGTTTGTTTTTCCATAAGCTGATACATGAGAGCTTGCAGATAGCTCCTCTTTTGTGAGTGTATCAATTTACCTTAATTCTTACTCTTGCTTATACAATACTACACTATTCTTTTTCTTTGTGTGCTTATTATAATTTCATATCACTGATCCCATCTGATTTGATGAGAATACTACCTTGCCGGGCCAAATTATCAGCTCCACAAAGATCCCTAATTACTTCCAAGAATCATTCTGGGGCTATTTATATATACCATTCAGAAAGATTATTTTAGGGATCTGTTATACAATATTGTTTTTATTGTATCCGTATTTTTATTTGGCGCAACTTGTTCTTTTTTTGTATTTTCCCTATTGTGTTCGATTGTTAGGGTATTACATTTTCAGTGTTTGCTGTCTTTGGGATCAGCACTTTATCAATTATCTTACATGCGTGTTTTGTTTTGGGGTATATATACTTAATTATTAAAAATAACATTTGCTGTTAGTGTTCCTTTAACCAGATAAGGGACAATGATCAAACCCTTGTTTCCTTCAAATTAAGGCTTTGAGGTGGAAGACAGTAATATTTGAGGGATCAAGGATCCAGAGCTTAAAGGGGATATTATTGTCATCTTTTTACAGGGAGCACTGTTAATACATGGGACTAAGGGACAGAACATTCCTTTGCCCACTGTGGGATAATGACCCCATGACACCTGTTTCTAGATATACATGGAAAATGGGATTGGGCATCCCCAGGGTCTACATTATTTAGGCATTGTCATCGACCCAGTCTTTTGATTGCAGTCCTGACATATGAGTGAAGTGCTGTGTGAGTGAAAGTATTGGAAAGATTGCACATTTTACCGCACTGCTCTTACACAGCTCCATGAACTCCTAATGAAGGAACTACACTGAAAATATAAGACAGAGGTAAATGCATTTACCTGCCAGTATCAATAATCCAGATAGAAGAAGTAGGATAGGAAGATGTCCTAATTAGAGAGATATTTGAGGGGACCAAGAGGACAAACTTTGGAATAGTGTGGCAGACAAGGACAAGCTAATGGAAAGGGGTTCAAGAGAGATGGAGATACCCACGGGTGGTGGGAAAGAGACAGAAGATTCTGTTCAGGCAAAAACACATAAGTGGAGGATAGATAACAATGCAAAAGTGAGTAGTAAATTCATATGTGGAGAGCTGAAACAAAAGGGATGATTCAGGGCAAAAAAGACATTTGAGGGCATAAGTGGGTGAAATAGGCCAGAAAGGGACTCTTAGAGGAGACAGTCATAATTGAATGGGAGAAAGGGTACAACGACACAACCGGGGGAATGGATAAACAAAGTAGGATTAAGTGGAGTACACAAGTGGAGGAGGGTGATTCAGTTAGGATAGAAATGAGGGAGGGAGACAAAAGTGGAATAGAGTGAGACACAGGTAGGATAGATATGGGGAATAAAGACACAAGTGGGTGAAATATAGATGCAAGAGACTCATATTGGGTGGGAGGCACAAAAGTAGGAGATGTAAAGGGTGGTAGAGAAGGTTGGTCTGGAGACCAGAGAGCTTAAAAATACATTCAGATATTTGCAGATTTGCAGATATTTTATACAAATCATGGAGGAATGGCACCCAGAGCTATTTGCACCATACTCAGCGCAGTAAGCCCTAGTAGCTGTGGTGTTTGCAGTTTAACCTTTTAATTTTAATATATAAAATATGCCAAAATACCCTAATCATGAGTCAGGATTTAAGGATTAGGAAAACTTCAGAAAAAAAGGATTTTTGCTTCCTAGGGAATTTAGGCAGAGTGTAAATAGACTCTACACCAAGCACCAGGGATTGGATTTATTTTTTCCATATGATTATAATAAAGAGAACTACAGCAGCTCGAATAGGTCAACTTCAAATAAATTCAAATTTGTAGGTCAAGTATTGACAAAGAAACTACTGCTAACTTGCCCCAAAAATCTACATTAAACGTCTCAAATGTTTGTTTTGGTTTTGTGTCAGAAGCATTGGAAAAAAAATCGTGTTGTATTTTTTTTTTTTTATTTACTCTAAAAATAGAATTCCTGAAACTTAAGTTGTTTTCTTTTTGGAATAGGGGAAGCCACGCACTTCTTTTGCTTAGCCTCTTTGCTCAGTTATGGATTTATGCAAATGTCCCTCTTTTTTTTTTTTTAAGTAACAAAAACACATCCCTGTTGTGTAGTGGAACAGCGTGTACCGAGCATCACAGCTGTTGCCATGGCTACTAATAACCACATGATGCAAAATGCAAGGGGAGCATGCTCATCGAATGAATACATAAGACCCATTTTTCTTCCTTTGTTTTTAGAGCTCTTGTAGACTTCCTGTTGTCAGCCACAGCTGTGAGGAATGCTTAATTTCCACCATATCTGAAAGCACGGCAGTGCAGACTGGCAGCGGTTTGTATTGTTCCTGCTAAAACCTAGATTAATGCCGAACAAAACAATTTGCACTTTGTTTCTGTGGGAAAGTTCAGCCTTCCCAGCTAGAAGACTTTCTAAAAACAGAGAACAGGGGAATTCTTCATTCCAGAGGGGAAAAATTAGCTAGCTACAAATCACAACAACAAGCTCCCATCTATCAAAATAGCCAATCAGACCCCATTTGCCCATTTGACGTTCCTTTGTGGATCCCCCTTCTCTCTCTCTTTTTTATTTTCTTCAATGCTCATACCAATGTTTTCACCTTTTGGATTCATAAACATCATAAAGGAAATCCACACAAAGATAATTAAATTAGTGCTTTCTGTTCACTTGTTTTTTTTCTTCTTTTTTTTCCACGCTTTGTACGGTGATCTGTGACACAACAAGTCCATTTAAAAGGGGGCATTCTTCAGTAGGCTTGGTGATTGTGTCCTAGCCCCTGTTTGCTGGCATTTGCATACACGTGTGTGTTTAGAATACCAGATCAGCTTTAGCAGACTCCCACAGCCTTGAGGAGCTTTATACTGAATAAATTCAAGTCCACATCTAAGCCGATTTCCTGAACAATAGAGTTCTTTTGCTGTCGACATGAATCATGCTGGTTACTCTTTCCCAAGCTGGGGTAGAGGAAGTTGACAGTTCTTTACAAGTAGCTAAACATTAAAGAGTTTAGAAAATTACAAACACGGTGAGAGTCAGAATGGTAACAAAGGCAGGACAATGATCTGTTTCATACATTCATATCCACAATGTTGGGCAACTTTTTAGTAGTCCTATCAGTTTTATGCACAAGCCTAGAGAGAGCTAATTTCATGTTCTGCTTAAAAATAATAATAATAATAATAAAAATAATAATAATAATAATAATAGCCATGTCAAAATTATTCAACTGATACATCTAGATGTCTAATATTATGTCTAATATTACTGAACACCTCAATTACTTATTTTATTGAAAAAATACCTTATAATAAAGTTTTAAAATATAGCTGTGCCATGAGCTGGGATTAATAGCCCAGGTGACTGTATAAAGCCTACAGGCCAACATTTCAACGGTGATGACATTGATGAAGTGATGATCATAAGATAAACAACCTGGCACCACAGAAAAACACTAAAGACAAATGTTTTATAATCTACATAGTGCTTAGATGAACAGGATTGCACAGAACATGTGAAGTAGGTTCTAGAACTTACATCAAGAGTGCTTATGAAAATAAGATTTCATTTTATTGAAGTTTTGGCATTGTCATAAAAACAAACTTGAAATAGTATTGCTTTTAAACTTGCCAAAAGTATTTAGCTGAAGCACTGGCTTTCTTTTTCCTAAGATCCTGGCACTTTATCACCAGGAGCCTGTGTCATTGGTGTACTTTCCCGCATGTCAGAAACTACAACACTGAAGTCTATGGATGATCCAGTGAGTTCCTGTAGACCAACTCGTAGTATGCGTTAGAAGATGCCTCTTTCCCACAGCCTTCACCAGTAACTGCTATGGGAATTGACAAAAGTTGATGGTGAAAGTCGTGCCTTTTGTTAACATTTGTCATCCTCCGGCATAATCCAAAAACAAAATAGTATTTTCTTTGTCTTGTGATGTCAACATTAATATTTCGTAAATATTTTATTTTGATGAAATACTGAAAAGTGACCAGAATTGACAAAGTTGCTTTAAATCTAACAACTTTAGCTGCAACTCCCCGACACAATACATTATGTATTTCCCATCATACTGCCTTAGATAAAAAGCTCACATTACAAAAACAATCTAGCAGTTTAGGATTGTGGACCTTGAAAAGTTAAGAAACATATTGTTGCTTAAAGATGGCTTAGGAGTTAATCATTTTAGTGCACCATAGCTTTCTAGAACAACAACAACAACAACAAAATGTTATTACTTTAAAACAACTCTAAAATTAAGTATGCTAGATTATCTAAAGCTTATATATTGAGCCTTAAACTGCCTCTGACATAACTAACCTGACATAATGGTACTCTAAAGAGAAAAATAAAAACAATTTATGGTGCTTGCCAAATTATTACATTATTAAAATATATTTTACTGCACTTGAAGAATATGTGAAATGGTGGCATCCAAGTGCTAGGTACAGGGGTATGTATCCTGCATCATTTGGGAGTGTTTAGTTATGCATTAAGCTGTCCTATGGATTTGTGGGCCCCATATTGATTGGGGAATTAGCTATGTTCAGATAAAACTTAGATAGGGTAGATAAGTATATTTTATCTTCTACATTGTTTAATGAGTTCAGATATGTAAATAACAGATTCACTTTAATTGCAGAAGCATTCTCCCACTTTTGCAAGGAGCAATGGAACTTGGAAAAGTTCTAGAGCTTGTATAGAGAAAAGAAAACTATAAAAATCTGAAAATATCTTAAGTGGAGATAAACAGTGAAGCACTATAGCTTTATATAGGTGACTGTCCCTGTTAAAATACAGTTTATACATGTATCCTTAAGGACATGTCTAGTGCCTGCCACTCAGACTGATGCTAGAGGCACTTCCTATTATGGTACTCCAATCTTTACAGCATCAACATTCAGCTTCTTCACACTCTGCATGAACACATGAACAATGTCCATGGAGATAAAGGAGATAATCCATGTCTACAAACAGATGCTGATTGGCCCAGCACGGATATTGCACACATGTGCAGTAGCCCCCAATTCTCTGTCCTTCAGCATGAGATTGAAGTTAGGTAACATTTATTTATTTCATTTTTACTGGGAGACCCATTAATATAAACCAGCAGGAGAAGAAGCTAACATTAGAATTACATGTTTGCATTTCTAACATTAGATTGCTCGTTGAAAGGCGCACTTTAGACTAGTAAAGTACTTCATCTTGCTGATGTGCTTTGTGTGAATATTGTGATATGAACCCCCATACACTTTAACATCCTGGTTTGGTTAGCTCAGTGGAGCAAAACTTCAAGAGGCAGCAATTACCCAGAGCAACTGCCTTGCAACTGCCTTGCAAAGACTTCTTATTGAGCTGAGAAAGTCTGGGCTGGAGAAGAAGGGGAGGGTTTGCAAAGGCTGCAAACAAAGAGATATTTTTTAGATATAACCCCAATGGAAAAATGCATCAATAAATATCTAAAAAATTTTGGGGATATATCTACTAAAATTGATTTGTTTATTTAACCCCTTAAGGATGGCAGACGTACTATGCCATCCTTGGGGACTCAGATCTAAATGCCGGTGGGCGGCATAGTACGTTCCCGCCATCCAGAGGACTTACCTGCTTGTTGGCGATCCACCACCGACTATCACGATGGGGGGACTCTCCTGGAATGACAGGTAGTCCCCCTGCTGCCTGAAATAGAGTTCAATAAAGGGTAAAAACTGTAAAATAATATAATATATACTTAGATCATATATATGTATATATATATGATCTAAGTATATATGTATATATATATATATATATATATATACACACATACACATGCATACACATACACTAAGTACTGTCTGTATTTTATGTATAATATTTAATATAATTTAATATATATACATGTAGAATGATATTAAATATATATATATATATATATATATATATATATAACACAAGATCCAGCGCACTCACCTATCCACTAAACAGCAACTTCAATGTTGAAAGATTTTATTAGTTTTTTTTAAAAACACCTAATCTAGGCAAAAATAATGGGGGTTTAGTTACATTATATGATCATACATTGCATAAGTCTGCCACAACGTCAATGTACCCCATCTTTGGCAGGTCCTACATATATATATATATACACGATACCAGTAGAGAGCACTCAGGAGTATTTCAAAATAAATTTAATCTCTTGCTTTATTGAGCAATTACAAATTCACACAACATTCCAGTCGACGTTTCAGTCTGTAAAAGACTTTTACAGACCGAAACGTCGACTGGAACATTGTGTGAATTTGTAATTGCTCAAAAAAGCAACAGATGATATTTACTTTGAAAGACTCCTGAGTGCTCTCTACTGGTATCGTATACAATTTGGTTGGATACAGCACCGGAGCATTAAAAGACCGGGAGCATCAAGTGCTGGGACGTATATATAAATGGTGTTTTCAAAAGTTACAAAGTCAAATATAAGGCTTGTGTTTCAGTTTTTTCACATTGAAATTCACCAGATTGGTTATGTTAACTTTGAGACCGTATGGTAGCGCAGGAATGAGAATTAACCCCATGATGAAACAAGCAAACAAATTGTTTAGGTGATATGACCCACCACCAAAAGTGCGAGTGCAGCGCTGCACAAATGATTACCCCTTCAAATTGTATGGGGTAGAATTACATGTAATAAAAGAGAAAGATATACAACATTTTATAAATATCCAGAGGGAGTGAAAAAATATGTACTGTATATAGTCTCACTCACATTTTTTAGAGCCTTTTTTGGGGATATAGGCTCTAAACTCTAGTGCTCCCAGACCTTCTTCTATGTCAGTTTTCTTTCTCAGGTATATATGAAAAATAAAAGGAATACAGCAATCTAGGTGCAAATAGTTTGAATCCAAAATCAATAGAGAAAATCAAATTTGGCAAAAAAAATTCTCACCTTTTAAGGAGCCTGTTTAGCATGACTTTTTGTGTGTTGTCAATTAGTAGGGTGACACTGCCCTGTAGGAATCTGGGATTTCGATGTGGTGGAATGAGGATAGAACGTAGGACTTATCAAAGGGATTTATTCCACAATAAAAGTAGTAGCACAGAGCATAAAAACTCAAAATAAAACAAAAAGCAATAATTTAACAGTCCTCTCTTGCAGAAATGTCAAACCAAGACTCATTTCGCGATGCAGTCTTTTTCAATTGGTTTTTCTTTCAGTCCTTCCCAGTTCCGTTTTTGAATGCCTGGTTGCTCCTTATGGTAGCATACCATTTGCAAAAGTAGACAACCCAAGGTATTGCAAATTACATAGTTACATAGCTGAAAAGAGACTTGCGTCCATCAAGTTCAGCCTACCTCACATTTGTTTTTTGCTGTTGATCAAAAAGAAGGCAAAAAAAAACAGTTTGAAGCACAATTTTGCAACAAGCTAGGAAAAAAAATCCTTCTTGACCCCAGAATGGCAGTCAGATTTATCCTTGGATCAAGAAGTTATTACCCTACATTGAAAGATTATATCCTTGAATATTCTGTTCTTGCAAGTATGCATCTAGTAGCCGTTTGAACATCTGTATGGACTCTGATAAAACCACTTCTTCAGGCAGAGAATTCCACATCCTGATTGTTCTTACAGTAAAAAAACCTTTCCTTTGCCTTAGACGAAATCTTCTTTCTTCCAGTCTAAACGCATGGCCTCGTGTCCTATGTAAAGTCCGGTTTGTGAATAGATTTCCACACATGGTTTGTATTGGCCCCGAATATATTTGTATAATGTTATCATATCCCCTCTCAGACGACGCTTTTCTAAACTAAATAGGTTTAAATTTGTTAACCTTTCTTCATAGCCAATATGTTCCATTCCTTTTATTAATTTTGGGGTATGCCAGTCTCTTTTAGTAGTCAATTGGTGTTCAAATTAGATTTTTGCATTTTTCACACATAAACAAATTTAACGCTAACTTTGGCCAGAGTTTGTGACTAAGTGGCTACTAAAAAAGACTGGACATACCCAATTGGCAATACCTTGGGTTGTCTACTATTGCAAATGGTATGCCATCATGGGGGTAATTCTCATTCCTGGGCTATCATACGGTGCCAAAGGCAATGTAACCAATCTGGTGAATTTCAATGTGAAAAAAATGAAAAATGTAACATGCTATATTTGACCCTGTAACTTCCCAAAACACTATAAACCAGTAAAA